TTGGCTTATAATCAGTAGATGACAGCTCCTGCAAGCTTATTGGCCAAATTCGAGATGTTAGTCGCGGTATTTTAGATTAATAGTCGCGATATCACGTTGAACACCAAAAAAAGTAATGGAAGAAGAGGAAAGCTCGCAGTCTGCCTATAATCCCGAAACCGATGAAATTAATTGGGATTGTCCATGCCTTGGTGGCATGGCCAATGGCCCTTGTGGTGAACAGTTTAAGGTGGCCTTCTCATGTTTCGTGCACTCAACCGCCGAACCTAAAGGCATGGATTGTCTGGAAGCCTTTAAAGAAATGAATAACTGTTTTAAAGAACATCCAGACGTATATGGTGACGGCAAGTATTCGCATAAAATATCAATTTTAAGGATCTTTATATGCTCAATAAATATTATATATAGAGATCGCTGACGATGACGATTCGGAGGAAGAAGATCAAGAAATACCAAAAACTTTAGTAAATGACCAAGAGGCGTCAGAAACTAGCACAAAAAATGATCAAAATACGTCAGCTTCAGCTTGAACCTCTCGCCTTTGGTTTTTTTTTTTTTTTTTATAGACAACTTATAATGGTTGACTAGATAACTTTAAAAAAAAAAATAATTTTTAATAAAAAAAATTTTTTTTTTATTAAAAATTTAAAATAATTTCCAAAATAAGAAATTTTTTTGTTAATCTTTATGCAAATTTTAAAAATAATTTCTAATATTAAATATGAATTTATATTTTTTAATTTATGAGTTAAATACTAGCTTACCAAAATAATTATTTAAATTATATTAAAAAAATAATTTTAAACTAATATATTGTATTATTTAAATAATAGTATAACAGATTATACTATTTATAGAAGTAAATGAAAAGAAAAAGAAAATAAATTATATATTAATAATTAATAAATAATTTTTATATTATAACTTTAATTTATATAGCAATAAATTTAGAGAAAAATAAATATAAATATATATTTTTTAATAAATATTTTGAAATTATAATATTTAATAATATTGTTATATTAAAATTATAATAAATCAATTGTTTTAATATATTTTATACTATATAATAGTTAAAATGATTTTTTTTCAAAAGAGATATAAATTTGATCAAAATTTATAATACTAATATAAATTAATTCTATTTTATAATTATTTTATATATAATAATTTTATTAATTATATTATATTGAAATCAAGTTATAAAATAAAGTTTATTAATAAAATATAATTTATTAATTATTAAATATATAATATTTATTTTATTTGTTTTTTATTTTTAACTATTTATAAGTTCTTTATATACTTATTTACTTTATACTTATTACTATATATCTAATATATTTTTTATATTTAATATATAATATATTTTATATCTGATATATTTTTATATCTAATATATTTTTATATAATTTTTTTTAATATTTGTTTTTTTTTTTAATGTTAAAGTAAAGCCTTATTTATAATTTTTATTAATATAATAAAAGTACAACTTATTATATAATTAATAGTAAAACATTACTTAATAAACAATTCACAGTAAGATTAAAAAAAAGAAAACTAGTATCAATCTTATAAAGTTGTTAGCCAATCATGTATCAGGTTAGATACTTTCTTTAAATATTAATAGAATTTTGCTTTAGCCAGATCATATTTGATAAACTAGTAATCTAAAATATCAGAACAAAATCAAAAAGACATCAAAGTTTTCTTTCCAAATCTTAAATAAAGAGAAAAAACAAAACAAAATATATATAACTCATACAACTACAGATCTCATATATCACGAAAAATTTCTACTTGCTTCAGAAAAACTCAAGACAATTTATCTCTTTCAAAGAATTAGCTGTAATATAAACATATATACATTTCAAATTAAGAAAAGTGACAAAATACAAACCAGTTGCACAAATATGAACATATTGCAGATCCTTCAAAACAACATGTATTAACTTTTCAATTCATTATATATAAAAAAATAATCATATATATATACAAAACCATTCTAAGAAATCAATATATATCCAAGCACAAATACATATATGCCTCAAATTAAGAAAAGTAATAAAACACGAACCAGTTGCACAAATACAACACATCATAGACCTTTCAAAACAATATGTATCAATTCTTCAACTTATCTTATATAAAGAGATATCCATATATATATATATAATTATTTCAAGAAGTCAATATATATTTAAGTACAAACAATAAAGCAAATTTTATTCATATATTAATTTAACAAAGTTAAACAATATAACAGATCCTACATCAAAACTATATAGATAAAACTCTTTCCGCTGATCCCCTTGCCAACCCAAAAAACAGACGTTCTCAAAAATATTTCTTTATTTTTGATAATAA